TGGGTCCGGGTTAGTATTGGGGCCGACTTGACATGGGTCCGAGTTGGTCGTGGGTCCGAGTTGGCATGGGTCCGAGTTGGCATGGGTCCGAGTTGGTTTGGGTCCGAGTTGACTCGAAACCGACGTGCATACCCCTAGCCTTTGATCAAGGCACCCGCGGCGAAATGGATAGTCAAGACCACACAACGAACTGCACGCAAGTGTTACGCCCCAACTGTAGCATCAGTGCCAACTATAGTTGGGCCCGTCCCAACAAATGTGCTACAGTTGGGCCAGCCCAACTACAGCAGAGAGATCCTGTGTGCATGATGTGCCCAGCATGTACCTAAGTCATATTGTTTACAAATGTCATGTCATTGGTCATACTCATAGGGCTAGATCATAGATGAAGAGATGAAGTGCCACATTTTTGATGAATTGTGTCAAGTGTGAGACACATTGACTTGGATAACGTTGAGACATTTGCCACAGACATTGGTCAACAACAGTTGGGCCAGCCCAACTGCAACACTACAGTTGGGACTGTCCCAACTATAGTTGGGACTTATGCTATAGTTGGGGTGTAACACAAGCCCTGCATGCAGTAACCGAGCTGTGTGTGTCGTGGAATGTGCGCGCCGCCGCAAGCACCTTTGGCGCTTTGTTTTCAGTGGTCTATCTGAATTATTCAGTATGCTAATGTTTATGAATTATTCACATTTCTCTGAACCAATTGTGTTTGGGGGGCTAAGCAGTCTGAGAATATTAGCCCCACTAGTGTGGCATGGATCACTCCCAATTCATCCTTAGCCACACATTCGTCTACGCAATTTCGTGTCGGCGTATTGAACATTCCGGTGCACCCACTTGTCATCGTGGGCGCAATTTCTTTTGCACATGAACATGATTCTTGACCTTTCCGCTTTCTAAAAACCATTTATTGAATGATTTCACTCACGTTATTCAGGTATTTTCCAGTCTTTTTGCCTTTATCCATTCAATCTAACGGGCTCGCTCTCTCAGTCGCCATCTTTAAAATAAGGTCGTTGAGCATTACGTCACTTGACCCCTCATCGTTTCGACGGCTGTTCCATGTCAAGATAACTAAACTGCTGCCAAAGTTTTGGAAGAGCCCATTGGTACATGTAGTATCTTATCGCTCAGTCCGTGTATTACATATGTCCTGACATGGAGCAGCCTCAACGACCTTATTTTAAAGATGGCGACTGAGAGAGCGAGCCCGTTAGATTGAATGGATAAAGGCAAAAAGACTGGAAAGTCATGACGTTCGGTGCGATCAAGGGATTTGTGTGATCGGTCCTGCTGCTGCTGTCAGTCAATCACTGATCACCATTTCTTCCTAATTCCTGGCTTTGGGAAGACAGTTTTGAAAACAGGACAGGCCCATATAAATGCAGAGATTTTGTTCAGGATCATATCAACCAGTTGTTTCCTTCTTCCCTGGTTCAACTGACATGACTGATAGCTCACATCCACCAATTTTACCAAACAGCTACAGTAAACTCCGACTAAGTCGGCATTGCGTAACCCGCCTTATCGTCTAAGTTGGCCGTTCTGTCTGTAATGCATTTCCATTAAAAATTTCATTTCAAAGTCAGCATGTATAAGTCATCATTTCATATAAGTCGACATGTTTTTCTCGATCCCTTTTCCACAAAACCACAAAAATTCCTTTGTGTATGTCAGCATTAAAAAAAATTGCGCTTAGGTATAGTTTCCTTCGCCATCGTTGCCAAGAAGTGTCAAGTGACAAGTCGCGTGCATGGCCAGCATGAGTACATAAATACCAGTAACCCCTCTTGTGCTACCCGCTTGCGCTTTGTCCAGTTGGCATTCACGTAAGTCGTCATAATTTCTTGAGTCCCAAGAGTGCTGATGTAGCTGGAGTTTATTGTACCACGACTACCTCTAGTTATTTAGTTACATTGAAGAATGACGTTTAACTTTTACTGATCCTTAATTTTCTTGGCAATACAGTACTTATGGCTTGGAATTCTGGCCTGACATACCTGGCGAAAAGTATGAATTGAAATTTGAAGTTTGAGTTTAGCTTTTTCTTTTTCTGTGCGCAGGATAACTTCAACAGGTCAAGAATCATGAGAGAGAGTCAGTATCGTTGGGTCCTGTACCTCCAATATTTCCTCATATTTGTAGATTTATTCGTCAACTCTTTTGTGGATCTTCTGCGGCTTGACAATGTCACCCAGCTTGTTATGTTTATGTAAGTAAGACCTGATAGAAAGAAAATAGAAACTGTGTGTTTAAATGAAATGAAAATTCCGTAAATCAGTCGTTCTAAAAAAATTACAGCTTTCCTTATAAAGAGAACGTCATTCTCTATTCTGGCCTCAGCAGGTTTATTAACCTAAATCTGTACAATCTTTTTTGTTTTTCAAATAAAGGGCAAAAAATTGTTGTAGCAAATCAAGGGTTAGCTTTAAGATTTGAATAATTACAACTTGGAAAACAACATGTTGAAAATATTTCTTTTTGAAAATTGTTGTGCAGAGTCCAAGATATCTGCCTCATCTTTGCGACAATTGTTGTATTCTTGATGTTCTTCAACACATACGTATTCCAAGCTGGTCTGGTTGGATACCTCGTACATAAGTTCAAGTTCACCATAGCCATATTGTTCTTGTACTTTGTTCTGTGTCTGGGCCTGCATATTTGGACCATGGTAAGTTGACATTGTAAATGATTTTCTATTCAGATTTCATATATACATGTACATTTGTATTTATTGTTTTTCACTCATATTTATGTCAAATTTGTTTCAGAATTTCTGTAATTATGTTTGTATTTTCTTTGATGCGTTATGAACAGCTACAAATGTGTTTTAATACAGTTATTGTTAAAACAGATCTTATACTGTAGCAACTTTCATCGTACTGTTAAAAAACATCATCACTGATTGAATTTTACTGATTGGAGAATGCTGTTCTCTTTGAAATACTGGGCACATAGTAACCAGAAATGTTTAAACTGTTGTCTTTCATCTTGATAGACGCTCAGATGGGGAAACATTGATGCATATATCTGGAATGAAGGGTTCCAGGCTTTGTATGTCTTCCAGAGAGTAGGTAAGTGCAGTCCTTTATTAGAGAGAAGAATTCAAGGCCTACAGAATTTTAACAATCAGTCAGTTGGGTAATCCGTTGGCACACACCCATAATGGAGCGTACCGGTGGTCATTTAGGAACAGCCATGCATGTGAGCAAAGTCCGCTCTTTCATGGTGGTAGTGTACCAACTCATATGCTCTGATCTCAAATGATTTTACTCTTTTGAAATACCAATCTCACTGTCAGCAAATTTGGACTTTTGGATGAAGAGAAACGAGGGTGTTTATTTCTTTCTGTGAAAGTAATGATCATCTGTGTTTCTGCCTAAATGGTATCCTTATTCTTATGCATTTGTAGGTGCCGTATTCTACTATTACTACTACAAACGAACAGCTCTTCGATTGGGAGACCCCCGATTCTACAGAGACTCTGCCTGGTTAAGGAGACAATTTGGAAAAGTTCAGTAAATCATGGCATGCGTTTTTCTGCTCCACTGAAATTGTGAATATGCGTTTTACAGCGTGTGTGTGTTTTTACATGTATTTATTTATTGTATACAAACTGTTTCATTGAAAAGTACTGATAGTATTTGCCTTTGTTTTTATTAGTGTGTCTTAAAAAAAAGATAAAACTTGTTGGGTTTTCCCTCACTGGATTGCTTGAACTGTTTACAGGTATGATATGTGTTTGAATTGAAAATGAGTGCCTCGTGAAAGCAGTGTTCTTGTATTCATGAAGAATTCGTCCCCTGTATATCTAAACCTGTTTTATAGAGCGTGCTTTGTATCTGCTCCGAGCGCAACAATAGAGGGCGTGTTTTTTGGGGTACTCACCACATAAGCACGTGTTGATAACGCGGAGCACGCTGAGTACGCGTAACAATTTTATTTCTTAAAGTATGGTCTTTGCGTACACACAGAATGCATGCAAGAACCCTTGACAAACTTACAGCCATCTGTCTTTCTTTTGCCCCTTGAGGGTGCTCTTCAACTTGGGGCAGATGATTTATATGATACTTCATCATTTTCCAGTAACCAATTGAATTGAATTTGAAGGAACCCCCCCATGTATGGAGACCATCCATCAATGTCATTTATTCAGTAAGCCATCAGTGGACAAGACACTGACTGGCCATTCTTTTGTTGTTGACTATGTTTTGTATGTCAACAGTCACATTACAATCACTGGGGTCATATGTCATGATGATGTCAGACTGCCTGTAATAATTATGCAAATATTTTACTGCCAAGAACATCAACATTAAATATTATAGGCTCACAACAATATTGACAGAACCAAATGTTTTTTAATGCCAACCAAATCTTTCTTTGAAATACATGTAAAAATCAAAATTAACACACCATTGATTTTAAGCATAAGTTTTACTAAATATTGAGACCACCGTACTATCAATGTTAACAAAGATTTGTGCTTTACATGTATGCTACTCTATGTAATATTTGTGTTAAGAAAATGAAGTTGTAAATGTGAAAGTTGAATTAAAAGAGTTACATAGAGCAGTCCTGGTAGCGTGCAAGACATCTTATTACATGTATATGTATTCATGTAGTCTGCTTCTCTCTACGTCATCTAAATATGATTACATTTCTGATTGCCTCATTGCCTTGTTCTTTGTTTGGATATTATATCGAAGGTTGTGCCGGACATGCAATGTATGCTCATCCAAATGTGAAAAGGAAATTAATTTGAAGTTTTTGCTGTTTTTCTCCTGATTTTAAGATTTGAGTATTCTGACCCCCGTTTTGATAGTTTAAACTTGATTTTTTTGCATCCCTGTGCAACATAAAGATGGCTATGACATCTAGGAGGCATGCAGACGAGGCTTGATGTTTACAAATGGACTGCTTCTCGTCTGTAAGAAATAAATATAGGCTATAGTCGCAACTTGCAAACTGCCCAAGTTAAATGTACATGTATTAAAAAAGGGCCCTTGGGTTCTCTCAAAAGGAGAAAGAATGAAAAAACACTCAAGACAGAGGGAGTTCCTAATTAATCTTCTTTACAAGATTGAAAAACACTACAAAACTGAAAATCCCTCAAAATGGAGTCATATAAAAGACAACACTCTTTCCATTTGACCATTACATGGAACCTTGGAAGAGTGGAAATTTTACTCTGTTGGTTTTCACTGTTTTGAGTGGGTCTTACTCTTTTTAAAGAGTGATTTTCACTCTTTTTGAATGGTTTTATTGGGGATTCACTGGTTTTGAGAATGAGGTTTTCATCTTCGTAGATATATATGTACGTCTATGGTTATTTAATGTTCTACATTGTGATAAACTGCATGACTGTGTAAACAAAAACAACTACAAGGCTAACATGGCTTAAACAAAGACTAGTTATGCACCAGCTATTAATAAAAACAAAAAGAATCAGATTGTTTCCATTGATTCTCCTACCAACTTTAAATGAAACATCATGAGCCAAATGAATGCATACACCAATAACGAAATACAAAAAGATATGCACATGTTAATGGCAGAATATAATTATGAATGTCTTTCACAGTTCACCAGTTATGTTTTTTATGAATGTAAATTTTGGTGTTCTGATACCTGTGTACGATCTTAAACACAAAATGAATCAGTGATCTGTTTTTCACTGATGGCTAGCCTTACTTTTACTAGCCACTGGTAAGCAAAAAGGACGGAAATATAAACCCTTCACCAACAGCAATTATGTTGCTCCGATGAAAACAAGTTATCTTTAATTGTTACAAGCAGGTGCACTGAACAACCTGTCGGTACAGGCACTTATCCCTTTATAATCATTCATCTTCTACTTGTAAATCGGACATCCAGGACCCAATATTTCCTTTCCTTTTGAAAGATCAGATATTGGTATCTTGCCTTCCATCGCCTTCAGGAACTCATCTGGCTTGTAGAACACTTCTAACTGGCAGATGAGAAGTTGCTCATCAACTGTAGCCACAGCGAAGCCGTGCATTTCAACCAGTTGCCCCTCACCCACTCTGCCCTTGTACTCTCCGGTGAAGTTAGCCCAATGGCGCCAGGAGAAGGCGACCCTAGGGGGTCCAGAAAAAACCCGTAACACCTCCCACGCGAAGCCTTCTGGAAACGCACTTCGGAAAAGGCAGTGGGAACTCTCGAAGGAGTGTTGCTCGCTGTTGTATAACTCTTTGGAAGCAGCGGACAGCAGCCAGTTGTAATTACCGATTGCTGACGACTCTTCACCGCTGAAGAATTTCTGGCCGTTCGCCTGAACCCTGTATTTCTCTTTGTTGATGGTGGTCCAAGTCTTGTAGTCAGGGAGATGTGAGGCTTCCATTTCCCATTTCTTCACCAAGTTCTCCACGATCAGTTCGAGTGAGCCCGGCTCGTGATTCATGGTTCTTCCTTTGAAGTACAGCAGATCTGCCTTGCGATAGTCTGGTTTGTCGCCCCTCCATTGTGCAGGTGGATTGTCTAAGTCTCCACGATCTGGGCGTAGAAACACGCATGTTTCGGCCACTTTTTTTAGCTGTTGATCAATATCACTTGTTGAACTCATGACTGAGCGTTTGTTTCCTGTTCTTCTCTCTCTCTCTCTTTTCAGTAATATGCTTGAAAATAGGCTTTACGTATCACTTCAAGCAAGTCATAGCACCGCCACTCATTGTAAGTACTGTAATCAAGCGACTGCAGTGATAGGGCCTACACACGACTGTGTTCGCATTCAGACTAGTTCAAACCTTTGAAGAAACATTAGCAATTGTATTTCAGAAGAGGGCATGTAAAAGTTAATGTTACGCATGAACGGGGCGTCTGCGTGATTTTGCGCGCTGGATTAATCCTTGATGGATTGTTGGGAATATCAATTTGTCAATAGTACGGAGCTTTTAAAGGGACACAGGTGAGAAAAAATTGGGAAAAATGTTCGTTCGAAGGAAAAAAAAATCGATTACCTAGAAGTGAGCGCACATGCGTAGTATGGAAAACCAAATGTGTTCAATGTTTTCACACGGCAAAAACGTACAGACGGCACGCAGCCTCCTGCACCGCACCATAGCCGCACCCACCTCCCGCACATGCTTGTTACGCGTCCGAGCTAGTTACTGAACGTCTGCTATGATCCGAGCCCGAAGGTACGTGGAGAGTAAATTCTCTAAATCAGGGTGAAGTAATACACAGTTATCTTCTTAATCTCCACTAATAACCTGGAGATTTTTTTTTCGTCCGAACGATTTTTATAGGTTCGTCTGAAAAGAATTCCGGAGATACCAGTATAACAATGACCAACACAAAAGCAGCGGGGGGGGGGTCTCTATCCCGTAGTTGGCTTCATATGGTCGTGGGCGCACAGACCTAAACCCATTGATCTCCTTTATAATGGAGATCAATGGTATAAGCCAGACAGACCAGCAGGCTGTCTTGCGCCTATTGAAGTGAATACGTCACTCACACAATTAGTGTGTAAAAGGCATAAGCGCGAGAACCAGCGCGTGAACCAACACGCGCGCTTACTCCATTCGTTTGCACTGCACTTTCTGGTTCACAGTGACGCCAGACCTCGGTACATTCACTTTGGTACTCTATAACCGAGACTTTAAAAAGTGGAGGCAAGCAGCGCGCCTCCAAGAGTTTGCAACGCGTTGACAAATCACAGTGTGCGAAATCTGTCGACCCAATGCGCGCTGGAAAGGGTCGACCGATGTCGTGCACGGTGATTGGCCGACGCGTTGCAAACTCTTGGGAGCGCACTATTGTGAATCGGCCGTATAATGCGCGCGACGTATTAAGATGGCATGTACTGTTTACATGTGCTCTGAAAAGACGATCCCATTTTTAACCCTTTTGTGCTGCAATCTCTTCTTTTCAAATTTTGCAACCGCACTTTTTAGAATGCATGGGCGAAACGGATGATTTTTTTTTTTACAATCAGAAAATGGCTTCATAGCATTTTATGGCTGGAATTCTTCAACTGTGTGTAAATTCCCTATACCAAGGGAGGAATTCGGTGCCCACGCTTTTGAACTTAGACGGGTGCTGTCTCGGCTACGGTACCCCGCCGTCGTTTTGAATAGGTGTCCAGCTCCGGGTTTATACGTCTGTGGTCGGGCAGCGTAATTTTTTTTCCTAGGACGGTTAGGGGTAGCCTAGTAGAGCCTGAAAGTAAAAGGTCACGCAGCGAGCTTCCGGAACCCTAGTGCGCTCCACCTATGGGGATTTTACATTGGGCCGTTTGATCACGTTGGATAATTTTTGGACGAATAATTCCTAACTGAAACCACCCCATGAAACGCTCGTGTTGCTATTTCACAATTGTCTTCCTCAACTAATACTTTGGAAAAGTCACCTTGGAGATGGGTAAAAAGAAAAACGAATTTCATCAACGACCTCTCAAGTCCGGCGATATCGTACCTAGCTCTATCGTACGTTACGTGAAAACGAGATTGTAAAAAATTGCAACGATTCTTACCTAGGCTGTGTTCAATGGGTTCCATGTTCCGTTGATTTGACGTAAAGCACTTATTATCTGCAAACGTTAAGTAAAATATTAAAATCTTTCCTAAAAGCAGATTATTGCTTTAAGTTTATTACCTAACAAATCAAAAAACGTTTTTGAAAGATTTTGATTTGTTTTTAGTTTTTATTTCGGGTTTTACCGACATACTTCCATAAAATTTCAAACTGTAAATGTTCATCTGCGTACGAGACCGCCACATCGCGCCGATGAGGTAGTCATGGGCCGTTTTCCAATACTCAACATCAGCTCCGTCTCAGGCTTCAATTGGGTTTTTTTTACTACCTGACTTTGAAGCTGTAAGCGCACCAATTAGTCTAATAGTGCCACAAAACATCAACTAAGATGCACGATAGCAAAGACTTACAGTAATCCAATTTGAGTTAAACGCTTCAGGCCACAATCGGGGATTAGTTTCAGGGACGGAGGCTAAGAGCTAAGTGGTTGGGGGTGTATCATACAAAAGAAAGAAAACAATAAAGAGTAAAATTTAAGGGGAATAGTAAACAAAAAA